TTTGTTTTTCTTTTAATCTGCTGTCGCTTTTGTTGATATCACTTTAATCTGTTAATCTGGCCAATGATCGCGAGTTATGAGGATCTTGTTCATCATAATCCTCCTGCCGTACTATCCTAAAAGCTTCTACATCTCTCTAATTTGTACTATCCTAAAAAATAGTGAAACTTGTTCTTCTTGCCCGTGGCTAGTTAACACATTACATTCTGCTTTGAAACTTATCCCTCCTAACCGTGACTAGCTGACATATATTATTGTGTTCTGTTTTGTCGATAACGTGCCCCCTTAGCTACTAGTATTAGAGGGGTGGTTGTTCCGTGGTCGTCTAGATCAGTGGTGGAGGTAGGGATGGCAATCATACCCATCACCGTGCTACCCAATCGGCTGCGACTCAGTCAACGCGGAAAATCCCCGTATTGAATGGATATGGGGCGAGTATAGGTAAAACCCGCAAATAATTTGATGGGTATGAGGCGGGTTTGATTTTAGATTTCTTGCCTCATACCCATACTCATATGAGAATTTTGTGGATTCTTTTATTGATAGGAAAGATAGTTTGTCTTTGAAAGATTTCAGATCTGATTTACATACTAGAGAGATTCGACATAAGGCGTCTGGCTCTGGTTCGAAAAATCAAGCATCTGGGTTGATTGCTACAGGTAGTAGGAGACAACAATCTGGTAATAGGAAGGCTAATATAAATTCGAATTCAGTTGGTCTGAAGGATGATATTTATCATTACTGTCAGGAGAAAGGACATTGGAAATTTGATTGTCCTAAACTAAAGAAATATCAGAAGAAGAAGAAGGAATCATTTGTTGCTTTGGCGGAAGAAACTAACTCTGATTCTGAAGATGGTTTAGCCTTAGCAGTGAACGAACATGTACATCATCAGGATGTGTGGTATTTAGATACTGCAGTTGATTATCATATGTGTCCAAGCATTGAGTCTTTTTCAACTTATGAGCAGATAGATGGAGGACATGTTTCTATAGCCAATGGTGCTATCTGTAAGATTGTTGGAAGAGGCTCTGTCGGGATAACGACACATGATGGTTTTGTTCACACCATGAACAATGTTAGGCTTATTCCAAAAATGACTAAGAATTTGATATCTTTGAGTCTACTAGAGAGCAAGGGTTTCAGTTTCAAAGGTGAAGGTGGAGTGTTGTATGTCTACAAAGGTTCCAAGGTGATTCTGAAAGGTGTTAAGGTTGGTGCCTTGTATAATCTACAAGGTTCTGTTGGTGATAAGTGCACCAAACTGGTTCTGAATAACAAGTCCCAAATGGATTGGGCTTGCCGAATGGTTTGAGTTGTTGATCGCCCTTATGGGCATTCGGAGGCAGGGGAGATTTTGGCGAATTCAGAGATTTGAAGAGTTTAATGTCTTGAAATTTTGGTTGAATTTGAGTTTGGCGATTTCCATCGCGTTTGAGTTTGGCAATATGTATCGCGTCTGGGTACATCTGGCAACTTTGGTTGCGTCTGGTACATTTGGTATTTGACATAGAATTCAAGTCAAGGTGGAGATTGTTAGGATTTGACTTGAATTTGATTTGGGTTCGTTTTGTGTATTGGACCTATTTTGTTTGGGTTTGTGTTTTGGCCTTTTCCTTGTAGGTTTGGAAAAGGTGTTTGATTTTCTATTTGGGATTAGGAAAAGCGTTCTATAAATACTCTTCATCACCCTAATATGTAGTTAGATCGGTCAGGTTAGTTTGTTTGGTTCGTTCGTTTCGAAATTTGGTTTGTAACTTGTATTCTTATCAAATTAGTGAAATTTGTTCTCCCCTACACGTGGATTAGCTAGCACACATTGTGTTAGTGAACCACGTTAAATTTATGTTTGTTTGTGTTGATCTAAATTATCGATTGCACGCTTCTGTATAGACACTAACAATTGAAGGCCAAATGGAACCTTCAATCGGGGTAGTATAGAGCAAGTATTTTTTTCAATTATCAAACCCGGGCAGTCTATGTATCATTACTGTAGCAAACCACAAATTATCTAGTTGTAGAAGCATTGTTTTAAGCTATTGAACGAAACAAACACAAGGTTGAATTCAAAAGCTTCACTCTTATGTTTACCCCCTAGTCTCGTGTTGAGTCGATGGTGTTATACTCTAGCATGATTACTATATTGTATATACAGTTAGGAAGTCAAAGATAGTTAGGAGTCCTTATTCGAGTTTTTCTAACCCACCTAATTGCTCTAATCGGAAAGGTGTACCGAACTATCAGATAAGGCAATTAGGCAAACCAAATCCACTCACTCTGGCGGTGCCCCGGAACGACGTAAAGAAACCAATCACCCTCGTTCATAGTCCCCTTACGATGATTGAATAGTGCGCTAAATTACTTTGTGGAGATATTCTCTCTCTTAAAGTAATTAGCTCCAGATTGGAGATGATCTTATATTAAATAAAGAAGAAAAATAAGATGAAGATAAGAGAAGTAAAATCTTGATCGTGTTTTGTGAAACTGAAAATGGAGGTTGTCTGGTTACAATGACCATTGGGTTGCAACCAAATTCAGAACTGCGGGTCTAGATCTTTGATGAACTGTTACCCACAGTTCAAGGGTTTTGCTTGTAACTCGCAAGCGAGAGAAAGACGTTGGTGTCTATAAACCTTTGATTTATTAATTGGATACGGAACTAATGCCGAACTTAGATATTTATAGGTCTAGAAAAGCCTAATATGTAACCCTATACTACATAAAATCATTCTCCTACTTGGCTACCCTAACCCCAAACACACAAGGAAAACCATAATCCAAAGGAAAACCACCCAAGCCCAAATATACCAAAAGCCCAACCGAAAATAACCTCATCAAACCTTCCCCCTCAAAGAACCTTGGTCCCCAAGGTTCGATCCATGCCTAGACGCAGAGGTCGATGACAAAAGCAGTTGCAGATCTTGCGGTGGCGTGGCCGTCGTCGCTTCCTAAACTTCCAAGTAACAGCTTGACCTATGTTCGACTTCCTCCTGATGAATGGGGCATGAGTCACTAGCCAAATTATTGGGACTCCCAACTCAACAGCTTGAGCTTCGTTAGGCGCCTAAAATCCTTCCGTAAAGATGCTAGCTCTTGGGCCGCACACACATAGGCATGATAAACCTCCTACATAATCATCATATTGGCCCCCAAGAAAGTCCTCACATATCGCCATTGTGCGTTGCTTTAGTGTGTGGATCGAGGCCAGGTCAAGAACCATGTCACCCTCCCTTGTAGGATGCGTAACCAGACTTTGATACCAATTGATGAACTGTTACCCACAGTTCAAGGATTTTGCTTGTAACTCACAAGCGAGAGAAAGACGTTGGTGTCTATAAACCTTTGATTTATTAATTGGATACGGAACTAAAGCCGAACTTACATATTTATAAGCCTAGAAAAGCCAAATATATAACCCTACACTACCCAGAATCCTTCTCCTACTCGGCTACCCTAACCCCAAACACACAAGGAAAACCATAATTCAAAGAAAAAACACCCAAGCCCAAAAATACCGAAAATAACCTCATCAATCTTTGTCGGTAAATAAATAGTTATTGATGATGCATAATTTTTTTATCATTAAATTTAACAAGTTATTATCTCTTTCTTCAAATCATCTCAATTAAAAATTCTAATTTTTTCAAAGGAAAATTATATTAATCTATCTCTTTAAATTGACTTCCATTTTGATATATTTTGAAACAAAAAATTTAATACGTATATTACCCGTTTATACCATGATGATAATATTTGTTGGTATAAAAAATTATACCATGACAGTTTGACTCGATTTGAATATAATACATTGTAGAATGATTGAATTCTGATAAATATCAGAATTATACCAACCAACATTTACCATCCCAAAGGGAATATTGTTTTTTAATTTGTCTTTCATGAATATATCAAATTCTATAAATTGCTTTTTTTTCTCTAAATATAACAAAATGATATCATTTTGTACATCATAATGAACTAATATTTGTATCAAAAATTTCGATTTAAGTAATAAGATACAGATTAGATAATTTTTCTAATTTGATTCGTTAAATTTAAGCCTCCTAAAATCATTTACCAACTAATTAAAACACAAATACAACCTACCCTTCACCGAACGGCGGATGTCTCCGTTCCCATTTTCGTTCATACCGATGTTACCGTCCCTATATACTGCCAAGGCGGCACCGCTCTGAACCGCCCGTAGAGGAGCGGCAGCGACTACTTTGCTTCGACTTTTTTTGCATGCTGCAATGAAACAGAAAGCTTTTCCTTTCCCTTCCGCTCAACAGTACCGATCTTTTCTCTCTCACAGGACAAAATTTTGAGACCAGACCCCTTCGTAGCTTCGGGGTCGTTTGAAAGTTGCGATTGTTAAATAGATGAATTGTTGAGAATGCATGTATAATATTATACATGTATTGTCGAATTTGATGCATTGTAGAATACAACGTTTGGTATATGTGATTGTGTATGTCGCATTAACTAAAAACTGAGACAAAACAATCTCAACTCAACTATCTCAACAATTACAACTAAAAGTTAAGATATAACAATCACTCAAAATGAGTGATAGTTTCTCTCACATCATAAAAACAATCCATGTATTGTTTCTGCTAAAAAAAACAAAAAAAACGATGCATTATAAACAATACATGCATAATGACAATTTCAACAAAACAATTGCAACTTCCAAACGACACCTTCATTCATCTCAAAAACAAAGAATCCAAATTTCCCACTTAATTAATTACCGCCTCAACTTTGCCGCAGTTAAAAAGTGGAGACAAAAACAAAGAATCCAAATTTCCCACTTAATTAATTACCGCCTCAACTTTGCCGCAGTTAAAAAGTGGAGAGTAACCCGGTCAGTTTCTGGACATCAGATCAACAAATCCCCTCTTCCGCCACCAAAACTCACGTCTCCAGAATCTTCTATACTTTACCTCTTTATTTGTTTGTTTAGTTTTTAGTTCAAATTGTATTTCCCTTTTTGCAACTCTTTTGAATTAAAATTACTGCCTTTGCAAGATTCGATTAAGGCGCGATGATAGCTGTAAATTAAATCCATGGAATACTTGAAACAACATTTACCTGCAGCTTACCCCCATTGTTACCAGAATCGCCCGAGGAAGAGGACCGGCAAGTAGAAGAATCAGATTTTTTCTAATCCAACCAAAATTGCAATTCATCCCAACTCGATCAAGAACTAAATTAAATTGAGCGTTATATTATATATAATAAAAAAATATTTACAAGAAAAGAGTAATTAAATAATAATAGTAGTAATGGGCGGCGGTTCGTTAATACAGAGGCACCGCAATCCGCGGCGGCTTAGGAGGAGGCTTCTCCGCTGGCACCGCCACTCTCTCCGCTCTGGCCGGCTGGCACGGGCACGGCAGTGCTATGAACCTGGCTATTTGATCTCCGGGCATCACCACCGGCACGCTCTCCCCCTGTTTCTGCTTCACATCCTGCGCAACCCCAAACCAAACGGAAGAAATTAGATTCCGGCAAAGGCGGAAGAAAACAGAGCCAATTAAGATGGGGGGCGTGATTTATTTTGTTTACCAAGCGGGGAGGGTTGGGTTTGAAGGGCGGAGCTTCGACGTCCCGATCCTCGTCGTCGTCGCCGGCGGGTTCGTCGGAGAATCCGCGGCGGAGGGAGCTGAGCTTGTCCCAGTGGTAGCAGCAGGAGAAGATGCCGCTCAAGCTGAAGATGACGATGAGGAGCAGAGCAGTCCCCAAGGGAAAGCCGAGGGAAGGCCGGGACGCGTCGGCGTGGGGCGGAGACGACAAATCAGGGGTGTCCATCGTAATCTGGGGCGGGAACAGAGTTGGCTCTGGCAATTGATTCTCACCCACGACGGTTCGGCTCCTTCTCTCATGTGTCGGAGGCAGGAGAAGAAGAAGGGGAAAAAAAAAACAGGGGCGACGGAGAAATGGCGGTGGGACGGGGGACTCTGTTTTTTATTTTCTTTCTACGGGGAGGAGAAGAGAGACGGGGGAGTAGGTTAGCTTTTTATAAATGAAAAAGGGGGGCGCAGAATATTGTTATTTATTTTATTATATAAAAGTGAGAAGATGGAGTACGTGTAAAGGTACGGCCTAATTTGTCCCGGGACCCGGTACGGAAACAAACATTTTTCGGTGGTGGGCTCCACCCGCGCTCCTGCATCATAATCTCTTCTCCTCAGGGCTGCTGCTGCCTGCTGGCTGCTGGTGGATAGGGATGGCAATGGGACGGGTTTGGGGCGGGTTTGCCTAAACCATCCTCATTCCCATCTTCAAATACCCAAACCCATACCCGCCCCATACCCATGCGGGGGAATGTTTTGCAAACCCATCCCCATACCCGTGGGTTTCGGGTACCCATGGGTAATACCCATCCCCGTACATCCAACATTATTATACCTAAAACTTACAAGAAAAGTTTTAATTATAACCATAAACAAACCTATTATATCACGAAGTCAACAAAATACGGTCATTTTCTAAATACGATTCAAAGAATATGATCCTAAAACATCAATTAATACATAATATAGACTATAATATTTTTTAAATTATTATGCTCTAACTCTTGATATATTTACTAAGTAATAATTAACTAACATAATTTTGTTGACAAGGGGGAAAGTGAAAGAGTGGAAGGAGAATTGAGGGAAATGAATTATGTTTTGATTAAGGTGGTTACTCAATTGCATTTCTACTATTTATTTTCTCGAGTTATCATCATCATCATTGATAGATTACAATTTAATCCACGTATTTTTTTATATGTGAAGAAATTCTCTTGGTGGGGCGGGTATGGGTATGGGTATGGGCCGGGGGAGGCTAAAACCATACCCGCCCCATACCCATCAAATCTTTTGCGGGTTTTACCCATACCCGCCCCATACCCGGTCAAAGCGGGGATTCCCCGCGTTGACTGGGTATGGGGCGGTCGGGTACCCGCGGCCATGGGTTTGATTGCCATCCCTACTGGTGGAGGAGTTCGCGAGAAAAAGAAAGCCTGGAAAGGTGGTGTTCAATTCGTTTCCGTTTGAGCAATTCGATTCCTTTGTTCACACGGTAATGTAATCTTGGTTTCTGAGATTTATTGTATTGGGTGTCTTTGAACAATTTATAAGAGGTGCTATATGATCATATTGTTGTGCTCAATAATTATGGATTTTTTTATGACGACAAACACCCTCCACGGTCACCACTGTAGTAGGGTCAAACCCTGGGACCTCCGCCAGCCAGGGGCGGAGCCAGGATTTCGAGACCGGAGGGGCCGAAAACAATTAAAAAAATTATGTAACCAATGTGAATCGAACCTGTGTACTTTAACACAAAAGTTAAGCTTGGCTACCATTAGACTACATAATTATTTGATGACATAATATACAGAACAAGTTTTACTTCTAAATTTGTACGAAATATCTTTAAAAACCTAGGGGCCGGGATCGATCCCGGGGGGCCGGGGCCCACCCTAGCTACAATGTAGCTCCGCCCCTGCCGCCAGCAGTCCGGACAAATGCGGGGTTGCCATCGGGAATACAATGGCAGCGGTGAGGATCGAACGTGGGATCTTTCGGTCACCAGTCTGCCTCCCTTATCACCAAGCTAAGTGACTTTTGGCAATAGCTATGAATTTTATTGTGATTGGATGAGCTAATTCGGAGTTTGTTGCTATTCTATTTCGTTTCGAAGCGAGATGGATTCTGGGTGTGTTGTATTAGTTCAACTGTCCAATTCTTGTTTGGTGGTTGATTTCACTCTTCTTGGTTGTATCTCTCAAACTCGGTTTGTTTTCAACTGTTTGTCCTGAAACACTTTACTCTTGTTTTCAATTACGTGTGTTTCGTTTTGTGCTTATTGATAATTGTGAGGGTAATACAAAATTAATCTTTAAAATAAAACAGCAAATTAAAGAAAAATAAGTGATTATTGAGTATTAATGATAAGTTTGGTAAGCACGGGTAGAAATTCGATTCAAAGTGTGAATGTTTGGTGGTCGGTGATCCGTGCTTTAGGTAGCAAACCTAATGAGCAAAATGTTGTATGTGGGCGATTATTTTGGTCCATTTTGGGCTTTGCTTAATTTGCTTTGCTGCTGCTGCCTGTTGGTCCTTATTCGATTAGTAGTCGAAATTAATCTTCTCAGATTTCCCCCCTCACATTGACGAAATGTAGAGTTATAAATAGGATGGTTTATCACTAGCTAGATTAATTAGGGTGCTTTTCTTGACTTTGCTGTTCATTCTCTTTGAAGACAGACTGGCAATAGCCAATTATCCATCTAATTAAAAGAAACAAGTGGATTCATTGTGTCGATATATACAAAGATCGAAAGATATGGTGGCACTAGGCCAACATGCATGCGGGCAAACCACATCATTGTACATGTTGAAGCACTAGTTGTCGTCCTAATGAACAAAAAAAAAAAACAGATGGGCTGCACTTGAAACTATACTTTCGTGACTTGCACTTTATCTCTTCTTCCTCCAAAATGATAAGAGTTTAGACCGATATAGACAAAGAAACTGTAAACACAACATGCAATTTGTCCAGAATTGGGTAGGTGGGTTTTAGTTCGGCAAAACAAAATGAAAAAAATGAGATATACATTATTATTTATGGGTCAGCTTAATTAATTGCAGGTTACATCCAAATTCCAAATTCAACCGACGTCGAAACGGGATTTCAGTTTCTTTTTCTCACGACGACGATCCACCAGTCAATGAAGGGCGGAAAGGCATGTGCCATTACTGCTCCCTCACTGCCACTCTGCACCCAGTCCCCATGTAAGTTGTAACCATGTTACATTACATATATGTGGTGGTAGTTGCTTGCATTCCACCAAGACAATATAAAACTAAACAAATTTTTTAGACTTGGATTTATTTTTCTCTTCCTCAAGAGACGAGAGTATATGTTTCAATAATAATTATCCATGTACTGTCATTTAACACTCTTGTTGGGATTTTTAGTGGTGTGAATGGAAATAAAAGGGGAAAGTTTCAAGAGAGTCTCTTGAGTCTTGAAGTACCATGTTGGTAAGATGTGAGAAGGCATGGCCTCGAATTCGATCGATTTGATGTAATGTGGTTAAATTGGTTAAATTGGTTAAATTGGTTTATGTAATCAAATGAACCAAACCGAGTTGAACCAATTCGAACCGAACCGATATGGCGGTTGGAATAACCAAACCGATCCAACTTCCATGAGGCCGAACCAATGCAATGGTTGAAATATTTTAAACGAACCAATGCAATGGTTGGGGTGTAACCACCCATATGAAGAGTTGCCTCTCTTCAATGCATCCCTTCATTTTCTATAAATAGCATCATACCCCCTCTTGTTTTAACGACGAGTTTTACATGGATTTTTCCCGGTACTGAAACTCTGCAAAAGTCAAAACTAGTTTTTCTGCATTCTTTTCAAAGAGAAAATAGAGTCAAGTGTGGTTCTCGCCGTTTCGCTGCGTTCGATGGTTTCCGGGGTTTGAGGTACCGCTACGCCGGAAAAGGTACGTCCTTTCTATCCTGGGAGGAATCATTCCACAACCTTGGGTACTTGAGGGGAATAAGATTCTTTAAGGAGAGATAGTGAATTCTATCGGCTAGGACGCTTGCATGTGTCTTTGCATGAATTTCTTAATCTTATGTGTTTGCTTGTGTTGCAAGAAAATAGTATACGTGAACAATTTCCACAACAATCTTAAAGAATCTTATTAGAAATTGTTAATTGTTCTCGGCATGGTTAGGTTAAGAATGATTGCAAGACGAATTAGGTTAAGAGTATATGTTTCAATAATAATTATCCATGTACGGTCATTAACACTCTGTTTGGGAAGAGGGGTAAATAGGAGGAGGGCAAATGTAAGGGATAAAACACAGTTTCCAACACATTTGCATCTGTTTTGTTAATTTGGAACAGTAGGGGGTGCAAAACGGGAGTACAAATTTACTGTTTCGGCTTACCCCAAATTGAGGTGCAAGAGAAGGAAGGAAGAGATGGGGAGAGGAGGGGAGGGGAGGGGGAAATTATAGAATTTTGTTTTTCTAATTGTGTTTTATATAATTATATAAAAATTAATATTATCAATTTCTTTTTTATATAAATATCATTAATGTAGACATTATTCGGGGTTGACCATTTGACTCCGAAAACAAGTTTATCAATGTTGGTCAAGTCAAATCTATATCTCTTGGTTGACTCGAATTTGCACTGAAAATTAGAGATACGGAGTATTTGTGGAAAAGATAGAGAGAAATTGTTTGGTTAACTCAGTTTAATTGACTAAATAGTTAAAACTTACAAATTCGAATGTGTTTGACTAAGTTTGAAAATTTAAGATTAAACTAGACACGAGAACCCTATATAGAATGACCAGCTACGGGTTGAGCTTCGAGTTTTGAGATCGCTCGATCAATGATTATTACAATTGTAATAATTAATTATTATTTGAACATTCTTATATAATAATTATTTTTATTAAAGTATATTTAATATTATATAGTAATATTTCATTTTATTATTTTGTCATAATATATTATAATTTTAATAAATCTATTTTACAATAATATAATTACTTACTTTTCACTTTATTTGCACCCCTACTTTTTCATCCAAACAATAATTTACTCATCTACTTACACCCCCTAGAAATTTGCAACCCAGCAATTTACACCTAAATTTGCACTCATGCAATTTGCGCCTTGTTGCCAAATAGAGCGTAAGTCAACCAGTATATGCCCACTTTTGCATGGTACCGATTTGATGAGATCAGTCAACATGTATATTATTTTATACTTAAACTAATGATGCCCCTATTTAATATCAAGCACAAGGCAGTTGGGCGAGGGGCCAGTCCTGCAGAAGCAGAACGGTGGAGGATAGCATTGGGCATGTTAATCTGGCTCTTTGAGATCTCAGAAGCCACCTCAACACCATTACCCAACACTCGATAAGGTGGGATATACTCCACGAATATACGGTGAAGGGGCATTGCTTGCTACTAAAATGATATACCACATGTATAAAA